TTTATTTATTTTATTCAATTTATACCCCGCTATGCGGGTCAAGTTGCAACCAACTTGCAGCGACCCCAGCAAGGGGCTTCCAAGGCAAGGGAGAAGCAGAGGTGGTTGGCCATGGCCTTCCTCTGCAGAGCCTTCCTGGGTGGTCTCCCTTCCAAGTATCAACCCCGCTTAGCTTCTGACGGCAACCCCAGCAAGGGGTTAGAAACCTTAGAAATCTGACAAAGCCTGGATTCTTAAAAGGTTCATACCCCCCTGTGGCGTCCTGCTTATTGGGGAGACTGTTTCTCCTTTAAACCACACTCTGTGTACGTGAACATAAGCAGAGTCCAGCAAGGGAGAAGCAGAGGTGGTTGGCCATGGCCTTCCTCTGCAGAGCCTTCCTGGGTGGTCTACCTTCCAAGTATCAACCCCTCTTAGCTTCTGACTTACGGCAACCCCAGCAAGGGGTTAGAAACCTTAGAAATCTGACAAAGAAAGCCTGGATTCTTAAAAAGTTCATACCCCCCTGTGGTGTCCTGCTTATTGGGGAGACCGTTTCTCCTTTAAACCACACTCTGTGTACATGAACATATGCAGATTCCAGATGGATCAGATCAGTGGTCCTTCTAGTCCAGCATCCTGTCTCACATAGAGGCCAACCAGTTCCTCTGGAGGGCCAACAACAGGGCACAGAGGCTGAGGCCTTCATAAGAACATGAGAAGAGATGTGCTGGATCAGACCAGTGGCCCATCTAGTCCAGCCTCCTGTCTCACACAGTGGACAGCCAGTTCCTCTGGAAGGCCAACCAACAGGACAGAGAGGCCAAGGCCTTCCTAAGAACATCAGAAGAGCCACGCTGGATCAGACCAGTGTTCTACCTAGTCCAGCATCCTGTCTCACACAGTGGCCAACCAGTTCCTCTGGAGGGCGAGCAACAGGGCAGAGAGGCCGAGGCCTTCCCCTAATGCCGTCTCCTGGCTCTGAGATTCAGAGGTTGCTGGTTCTGAACGTTGAAGTTTCTTCTTTACGAGTAAGTAAAAAATGCTTTGGTCTAGGTGCTGCATAGCTGCACTCCTGGGCATGCTTAGCGGAGAACACAGTGGCATTTTGAATAAACCACCACCTTACAGGATCTGACTGCAAGCCTCCCTTATCTTTTCTCAGATGCTATGTGTGTAGTATGATCGGTTGAAGATCATACGGCTCTGCGGGCTGGCATGGAAGTGGTTATCAAATAGAAATCCCAATAAACAGTGCGCCAGGAATCACAAAATGGCACAAGTAAGACGATCAGAAGAGTTTATTCCCCGTGGAAGAAGATAATTTGGTTAGAAGGAAAGTTTGGTTTTATACCCCGCCCTTTGCTACCTGAAGGAGTCTCAGAGTGGCCTACAATCGCCTTCCCTTCCTCTTCCCCACAACAGACAGCCTGTGAGGGAGGTGGGGCTGAGAGATCTGTGACTGACCTAAAGTCACCCAGCTGGCTGCATGTGGCAGAGTGGGGAATCCAACCCAGATTAGAGTCCACCACTCTTAACCGCTACACCAAACTGGCTTTTTGTAATATTCTGGCACGGAAAGCCCCCTAATTATACCTGGTTCAAACATAGTCCCCTCCAATCATACTGACCATTCCCACCTAAGCAGCGCACCTCTACCCCCCCCCCCCCGCAAATTATTTGTTTGTTAGCTAAGGTGGCAAGCAGAGAGACCAAGGCCATCTGGCTGATATCCCTGAGAAAGGGCGGTATCTTCAGAAATTACATGAGATGCATTGCCCTACAATAAAGCCATTCGCACTCTCACACATTCACAGC